CCTGGGCTCCTGCCACTCTCTCCGTGTCCCTGTCCCCTCTCCCTGTGTCCTTGTCTCTCCCTGTGTCCCTGTCCCCTCTCTCCGTGTCCCTGTCCCCTCTCCCTGTGTCCCTGTCCCCTCTCCCCGTGTCCCTGTCCCCTCTCCCTGTGTCCCTGTCCCCTCCTCTGGCAGCAGTCAGGTCTCCCAGGCTGTGGGCCCCCCACCCCTCTGACTGTCCACCCCGTCTCCCCGCAGAGAGCCATCTGTCCCTCCTGTACCACCTCACAGCTGTGTCTTCCCCCGCCTCGGGGTCCCCCGCCTTCTGGGTGTCCGGCTGGCTGGGGCCGCAGCAGTACCTGAGCTACAGCAGCCTGCGCAAGGAGGCGGAGCCCTGCGGGGCCTGGGTGTGGGAAAACCAGGTGTCCTGGTACTGGGAGAAGGAGACCACAGACCTGAGAAACAAGGAGAGGCTCTTCCTGGATGCCCTCAGAGCCCTGGAGGGAGAAGGTGGGGCCCGGACTCTGGGTCTGAGGGAGGAGGGGAGGCCCGGCCCCGCTCCTCACCCTGTTCCCGTCCTGGCCACCCCAGGCCCCTACACCCTGCAGGGCCTGCTGGGCTGTGAGCTCAGCCCTGACAACGCCTCGGTGCCCACGGCCCTGTTCGCCCTGAACGGCGAGGACTTCATGCAGTTCCACCCCAGGAACGGCAGCTGGACGGGCGACTGGCCCGAGGCCCTGACGATCAGCACGCAGTGGCAGCAGCAGGCCGAGGCGGTGGCCAGGGAGAGGACCTTCCTGCTCAGCTCCTGCCCACAGCGGCTGCTGGACCACCTGGAGCGGGGCCGCATGAACCTGGAGTGGAAGGGTGAGCACGCTCCGCTCTCTTGTCCTTGCTTTCTTGAGTCAGGGTCTTGCCGTGTGGCCCAGGCTGGTCTCGGACTCGGGCGAGCCTCCTGCCTCAGCCTCCCGAGTGCTGGGGTCACAGCACTGCGTGGTCTCCAGTGTCCCCCCCATTGCTGTTTACCTAGAGCTGCCGGCCCCACCCTGCTCCCTCCCCACGCAGCGCCTCCGGACGAGTCCAGCTCCTTGCCTTAATGTCCTCCTTGGCACCCCCAGGTGTGGGCACTACCCTCCAGCAGCTGCACCGCTCTTCTCTGCTGCAAGCTCTGTCCCCCCTCTGGTCCCCTGCGACCCTCTCTGATCATCTCCTGTCCTCAGGGGCCCGCGTGGGTGTCGCCTCCTCCCGGAAGTCCCCTCCACGTGCCCGAGACCCCCCACATTCAGCACGGGGCTCCTTGGGTTCTGGCAAAGAGGGCGGGGTGTATGTGTCCCCTCCTGCTGCTGGGCAGAGGCTGCCGGTGCACCCGAGTCCAGGGAAGGAGGCCATGTAGCCTCACTAAGTGCTACAGAAGACAAGGGAGACTCGAGCAGGTGATTTTTTTGTTTTGTTTTTCTTTTTTGATTAGGGAAATTCTCAAGCTCATTTAAGAAGAGGGAATAGTATTATCATCCCTATGACTCAATAAGTAGCAACACTCTGGGCGTGGTGGCACATGCCAGAAATCCCACCACTTGGGAGGCTGAGGCAGGAGGATCACTGTGAGTTTAAGGCCAGCCTGAACTACATATAATGAGACCCTGTCTCAGAAAACAAATTAAGCCAGGGATTTAGCTCAGTGGTTCTGCCGCCTGCCTTGCTAGCACAAGGTCTGGAGTTGATCCCTGGTACTGCAAAAAGCAAATTAAAGGGCTGGGGATTTAGCTCAGTGGTGCTGCCACCTGCCTTGCAAGTGAATGGTCCCGAGTTCGATCCCTGGTACCGAAGGAAAGGTAGATAGAGGTTTGAGTCAGGATCTACCCCAGGGCCATACATTGCATTCACGTGCTCCATCTCTTCGGTGTCTCTTACTCTTTTTCTGTTCTTGTTTTTGTATTAGGTTTTTTGTTTGGTTTGGTTTGGTTTTTGGTTATTTTGAGACAGGGTCTCACTATGTAGTTGAGACTGACCTGGAACTCACTATGTAGCCCAGACTGGTGTCAAACTCACAGCGATCCTCCTGCCTCAGCCTCCCGAGTGCTGGGATGACAGGCGTGCGCCACCATGCCTGGCTGTTTCTGTTTTGGGATTTTTTTTTTTTTTTTTTTTTTAGGTTTTTTGAGATAAGATCTTGCTCTGTAGCCCGGGTGACTCTCCTGCCTCAGCCTCCTGTGGGTTGGCAGGACAGTGTCTTTTTCTTATTGTTTGGTTCTGAGAGCTGTGTTTCAGAGCCAGCCCTTGGTCGGATGGTGTCTTGCACACAGATGTTCCGCAGCCTCCATTCTTGGCTGACCCGGTTCTCTTTAACAATGTCTCAGGACACAGAGGCTTGGAACAGTGATGAGGTTGGAGTCATCTCTCTTTTCTCCCGGACTGTGTGTCTGGCGGGATGTGTCAGCTGCCAAGCCGAGGTCCCTCACATCTTCTATCTCAGGGACTCTTAGGGTTTTACATTTCACACATCCATGCTTTGACTTGAGTTAATTTTTGTGATTTTGAATGTTTTCACATCTGCAGTTTTTCCTCTCTCTCTGCCTCTCCCTCTCCTTTCCTAGTAAATTCCTTAGAAGAAACTCAGTTATTTGCTGTTGGATTTTGCCCAGGCTGGATTTTGCTCTTTGGTTGTGGAATGTGGTTGTTTTTCTGTTCTGTAAAGTGATAGCATGATCCAGAAGCTAGATTTGATTGTGATTCAAAACAAAATTTTTTTTTTTTTTAGTATTGGGTAGTGAACTCGGGACCTTGGGGCTTGCGAGGCAGGCGGCAGCACCGTAGAGCTAAATCCCAGGCCCAAAACAAAATTTTTTTTGTTGCTTTTTCTGAGACAATGCCTCTCACTATGTAGCCCAGGCTGGCCTCAAACTTGTGGCGATCCTCCTGGCTCAGCCTGCCGAGTGCTGAGATCACAGACATGCGCCACCACGCCCGGTTGCTATCTAGATTTTGGATCACCAGCTAGCGACCTCTGAAGGGATCGGTGGGTTGTATTTTGGGTATATATTATGAACTCACGGATACGATCGTGTGTTTTATTTCTTACACTGTCCGGCCCCGTTGCCCAAGCTGGTCTCAAACACCAGAGTTTAAGTGATCCTCCTGCCTCAGCCTCCCCACGAAGCTGGGCCAACAGGTGCGCACCTCCCCCTGCTCTTAGAGCGCTTGTGTCCTTCACGCCCTCCGCTGTGGTCTCCCTCTTGCGCCTCTCCCCACGCACCCTGCAGCAGTCAGGGGCGCGTTTCCAAACAGCCAGCACCCACGGCACCCGTGGCTTCCTGTGAGTCTGAGAATAAAACCCCAGGTCTGCAGTGCCTGCCGCTTCTCTCTCCTCTCCTCCCAGAGCCAGCTCTGCCCACCTGGCCTTGGCATTTGCTGTTCACACTGCAGGGGCCCTGTGCTTGGGGTGCTGTACGGGCCTTATCTTCAGCCTTGGATCCCGGAAGGACCTATCCTGACAATCTGGACGAAATAAAGGGGTGCTTTATGTATTTATTTATTTTATTTTTATGGTGCAAGGGATCAAACCTAGGGCCTTCACACTAAGCTACATCTCCAGGCCCTTTTTATGCTGTCTGTTTGTTTTGTTTTTTGTTTTTTGAGACGGGGTCTCACTATGTAGTTGACTGACCTGGAACTCCCTGTGTAGCCCAGGCTGTTCTTGAACTCGCAGAGATCCTCCTGCCTCAGCCTCCTGAGTGCTGGGATTACAGGCATGAGCCACCATGCCCAGCCCCCTTTTTATTTTTTATTTTGAGACAGAGTCTCGCTAAATTGCCTAGGCTGAGCAATCAATCTTCTTGCCTTAGCCTTTCAGAGAGTTCTGGGATTAGAGGCATGAACTACCAAATCTGGCTTTCTATGAATATTCTCTTACTTTTTTTTTTTTTGGTACCGGGGATTGAACTCGGACCTTTGTGCTTCCAAGGCAGGCGGCGGAACCACTGAGCTAGATTCCTGGCCCTCTTACTTTTTTTTTTTTTTTTTTTTTTTTTTTTTTTTTTTTTTTTTTTTTTTTGAGGTAGGCTGTCACTATGTTGCCCAGGGCTGGCTAGTGTTGAATTTCAGGGTTTAAGTGATCCTCCTGCCTCAGCCTCCCAGGTACTTGGGTCTACAGGCAGGTGCCATTTCTCCCAACTGTATGTGTGTGTGGATCTGTATATTTATTTATTCTTTGGAAATACCTCAGGGTAGTAATACGATCAACTTTAGTAGCTTGTGCTGACTGTTTTCTCCCAGTATCTGTATAGAGTTCTGGTTGATCCAGACTTGCGAGAAATGGATACTTTCCCATTTTTCACGGTATCCAGTCTGACGAGTATGCAGTGGGATCTTATTATGATTTTATTTTTGGTTGTCTGATGACACAGTCACATTCTTAGCTACCTGCATGTGTGATATTTTTTGGAATGTTTATGCTAGCTGGTTTTTTTCCCTAGTTTAAAAAACTGACGCTGTAGCTGGGAGTAGTCACGCAAGCCTGTCATCCCAGGAGTGAGGAGGCTGAGGCAGGAGGATCATTGTGAGTTCGAGGCCAGCCTGGGCTACACAGTGAGACCCTGTGAAAGAAAGAGAGAGAGAGACAGAGAGAGGGGGAGAGAGAGAGAGAGAGAGAGAGAGAGAGAGAGAGAGAAAAGAAAGAAAGAGTAAAGGCACATAGCCTCATCCAGCAGATTTCTAGGCCATTTGTAGCTCAGTGTCTAAAACTGTCCTCACCATGCCGCGACGCTGTTTCTCCAGCCTGCAGCACGGTGACCTCCCTTCTACTTTCTCTCCCATGAGTTTAGGACTTCCAACAACCCCTACAGGTGGAAGTACGTAGAATTTGTCCTTCTGGGCTGGGGATGTAGCTCAGTGGGGCCACACCTGCCTCACAAGTGTGAGGTCCTGAGTTCGATCCCCGGTACTGGGGGAAAAAAAAAACACTGCACATAAATTTACAGCCTCTCAAATCCACCGAAACCCATCCTGGCAGTCAGTATCACGACCTCTCTAGAAATTGTGTAAGTGAGCATGTGTGGGCAGAGGTCATGGTCATTAAAATTTGGATTAAATCAGAAATCACTACTCAGAACACTACTTTTAATTAGTGGTTGAATCCAAGGCTTTCTTTACTGAGCTACATACCTGGCCTTTTTCTTTTGGGAGACAAGGTCTCACTATGCAGTTCAAGCTGGCCTCGAACTCCCAGCAATCCTCCTGTCTCAGCCTCCCAAGGCTGGGCTTACAGGCGTGCGCCAGCATATCTGGCCTCTTCTATGTTTTAAGTTTATTCTTGTTTTTTAAATTTTTGGTAATGAGGACTGAACCCAGCACCTCACACTTGATAGACAAGCGATCTACCACTAAATCTTCAACGTCCCTACTTTTAAAATTTTGGAGACAGAGTCTTGCTAAATCAATAAAGTGCCCAGGCTCAGTTTAAACTTTCAACCTCCTGCCTCAGCCTCCCCAAGGGCTGCTGGGATGACAGGCCTGCACCACCTCACCCAACTACTTAATTCTTTTCAATGTTTTTAGCCTTGGGCCCTTATTAAGCAGAAAGAAAGGCGGGTGGATTTTCTGTGCTTGAATTTAGCCTAGACTATAAACACCGTGCTCTGAAGATTCAAATGGTATGGGCTAGGAACGGTGACCCACGCCTTGAATCTCAGCACCTGGGAAGCTGAGGCAGGAGGATCGCTGTGAATTCAAGGCCAACCCAGGCTAGATATTGAGACCCAGTCTCAAAAACACAAAAGTGATGTGGCAGGGACTGGCCACCACAGGGCAGAGCCAGTGCTTCCTGGAAAGCGGCAGGCATGGGAGAAGGACGCAGAACCGCTGATGACGGGGCACCGCCCTCACAGGCCATCCAGGAACTTGGAGCAGGGCTGCAGACTCCACTTCCAAAGAATCACTGAACTGTGCTTCTGCTGAGTTTGGAGCCAGCCACAGCCAGGATGGGCCTGGGAAGACCCACCCTCGTGGCTGCCAGCCCAAGGCTCAGCCCTGCCTGGCAGGCACTCAGAACCCTTTGCCCTAGTTCCAGATGATGGGAGGGGAGAAGCACTGGGGTTGAACCAAGCCTGGTGTGTGCTGACGCTGAGCACAGCTCCAACACTTTTGCAAGTTGATATACTTTGAGACAGTCTTGCTAAGTTGCCCAGGCAGGACTTGAACTTGAGGTCCTCCTGCCTCAGCCTCCTGAGCACCTAGGATTGTAGGCGAGTGCTATCACATCTGGCTTGCTATTTATTTATATTACGGGTTGAGACAGGGTCTGGCTATGTAGTGCAAGCTGGCCTTGAACTCACTGTATAGCCCCTGGCTTGCTTTGAACTGGGAATCCTCCCGCCTCAGCCTCCTGAGCTACTGCACCTGATCCTCTCTCTTTACCCCTACATTCTCCAGGTTCAGCGCAGTACAGTGCCCAGGATGGTGGCGCATGCTGTCCCGCCCTGCCCTGAGCTCAGCCGCTCCCTGTCTCCACAGAGCCACCTTCCATGCGCCTGAAGGCCCGGCCTGGCATCGCTGGCTTCTCCGAGCTCACCTGCAGCGCCTTTTCCTTCTACCCACCGGAGCTGCAGCTGCGCTTTCTGCGCAATGGGCTGGCAGCTGGCAGCGGGCGGGGCGGCTTCGGCCCCAATGGTGACGGCTCCTTCCACGCGTGGTCATCGCTCATGGTGCAGCGCGGCGATGAGCACCACTACCGCTGCCTGGTGCGGCACGCAGGGCTGCCGCAGCCCCTCTTGGTGGAGCTGGGTGAGCCCGGGACGTCCCACTCCCTGAGTGTCCCTGTCCGCTGCCGCAGCCACACCTGTGCCTGCTAAAGCCGGTGTCCCGGGCTTGGCTGCTCCACCCTGCTGCACCTGCTGGCGCTGCGGCCGGCCCTCTGTCCCCCGCTGCTGCTGCTCTTCAGGGAGTCCAACTGTTTGCTTTCTGCCGCTGCCGGCGCTCACCAAGACTGACCGCCCCTGCCTCGCTACTGCTGCGCCCCCGCGCGCTCCAACCACCTGCTGCTGTAGGTCCCCAGGCAGGGTGACCTCTTCTCGCTATGGCTGGTCTGGTTTTCTCTCTCTCGCGCTCTCTCTCGCTCTCTGTCCTTGAGACTAAGTGTGGAGCCCGGGCTGTCCTCGAACTCGTGGTGATCCTCCTGCCTCAGCCTCCCAAGCGCTGAGATGACAGGCGTGCGCCACCACGCCCCAGCTGCTATTGCTGATTCTCAACACCCAACCTGGGACACTCTGCCCGGGGCCAGGTGTCAGCTGGGGATCTCGGAGTCTGGGAGGGGCAGGACCCCCACTTCCGGGCCTCTAGAACAGGTGGAGGGCTGGACACATCCCGGCGTTCTCCGGCCGCAGAGTCGCCAGCCGAGTCCTCCGTGCTGGTGGTGGGCGTCGTCGTGGGCCTCTTGCTGCTGGTGGCCGCGGCCGTGGGAGGAGTTCTGCTGTGGCGGAGGTTCAGCGCTCAGCGCCCTGGATCTCCCTCCGCGGGGACGACATCGGGGCCCTGTTGCCCGGCCCCGGGCTGTCCCCGGAGCCCGACTCTTCAGACGCCAATGGCGCCGCCTGACGTCCCCAGCCGATGCTGTCGTCTCTGCTGTGAGACCCCTGGAATCCTGGATCTCTGAGCCTCCAGAACAAGTGTTGGGCCCAGCTCCCCATGGATCAGCGCCCTGGATCTCCCTCCGCGGGGACGACATCGGGGCCCTGTTGCCCGGCCCCGGGCTGTCCCCGGAGCCCGACTCTTCAGACGCCAATGGCGCCGCCTGACGTCCCCAGCCGATGCTGTCGTCTCTGCTGTGAGACCCCTGGAATCCTGGATCTCTGAGCCTCCAGAACAAGTGTTGGGCCCAGCTCCCCATGGAGCCTCCCCCGGGTCTGCCTCAGTGCCCCCTCCCAACATCTTGGGCCCCTTTCCACCTTCACATATAAACGCGAGTTTGGGCCCAAATCTGTGTGTTCTCGATCCTTTTCAGTTTGCTGGCTGGGGAGGTAACGAATGGGTAGGAGGACTCGGTGGCGCAAGAGTAGAGCATATTCAGGTCGCTCCTATAGCCAACAGGTGGCCATGTGAGAATCTGTCCATTTTTTGTTTTTCTTGTTTTTCTGTTTTACGAGACAGGGTCTCGCCATGTAGTCCAGGCTGGCCTCGAACTCATCTATGTAACCCAGGCTGGCCCCGAACTCCTGGCGACCCTCCTGCCTCAGCCTCCTGAGTGCTAGGATTACAGGTGTGCGCCACCGTGCCCACTTCAAGAATCTGCCATTTTTCTGTATCGACTCATCTATTTTTAATTCAATCAGTTTCACAAATATTTACGAAGTGCCTACACCATGCCAGGCATTCTAAAGAACTCTTGGCTGGAGTATGTTCTGAATACTTGAAGGAGCAGAAGAGAAGAGTTGCTCCTTCTTGGAGGGAAAGGAAATGATATCTCCAGCCCCTTGGTTCTCCTTAAACCAGCCCCACAAAGGGAATGGGAGAAAAATACATTTCCCATAAGACTTTGGGGAGAGTGCCCCTGGAGGTGGTCGGACAGGGCGCCCCGATCCCTGCCGGGAGTTGTGGTTCTTCCAGGCCGCGCCACTCAGTCTTCGCCCACCCGACCTTCCTCCGGCCACCCAGCTTTTCCTTTGTGGACGTGGCGAGGGCGGCCCGCGGCACTCCCGCCGCTCTCTGGCCACGCCCCCAGGGTTCCTCGCCCGCGCTCATTGGTCGGAGGGCGTGGTCTTGGCGCCACCGGGGTGGGGCCTGGCTGGATAGCGGCCAAATTGGGCATCTTTGAGAGACCGCGGAGCAGAGCGTGGGGAGCAGCGAGAAGCCGGATAACAGGGTAACTGCGTGTGTCTGGGGAAATCAGGGAGGGGGCTCGGCCACAGGGTCAGGGTCCGGGCCGGGGGCGACCTGGGGGTCCCGCTGTACCTTCTCTGGCCATCACCATGCCCTGCGCTTTTCGAGGGCCGCGCTCCACTCTTGCTTGGGATCACCTCTGCCCGCTCCGGGACCTCGGGGGACCCGGAAGATGGAGGCCCTCTCCGGGCACCCTGTCCTCCTCCTCCCCGCTGCCGGCCCCTCTGAGCCCTAAACTTTCAGCAGGCACCTCCCATCTCCTAGTCCTGTCCCAGGTAACCCCTGCCACCCCATCCGGCTCTGACCCATTCCTGCCCTTTCCCCCGTGCCTCCTGACCTCCGACCCTACTGCTTCCCAGGGACCGATGATGTGGCGCCGGTCATTCCTCCTGCTGCCGCCTCTGCTGCTGCTGCTGCTGCTGCTGCTCCTGCGGCGCGGGGCTCAGGGGAAGCCACCCCCTGACGCAGGTCCTCACGGCCAAGCCAGGGTGCACCAGGCAGCCCCCCTGAGCGACGCCGCGCATGACGACGCCCACGGAAACTTCCAGTACGACCACGAGGCCTTTCTAGGACGGGAAGTGGCCAAGGAATTTGACCAGCTCACCCCAGAGGAAAGCCAGGCCCGCCTTGGGTAAGACATGGAAGCCCTTCGTGGTGGCTACGCCAGTGATCCCAGCACTCAGGAGGTTGAGGCAGAAGGGTGATGCACAGCCTGAGCTAAGCAGTGCGTTCAAGGCCAGCCTGCACTTGCAAGACCCTGACTCCAAAACACAGAAAAGAATTGACACCTCAAACTGTGACCTTTGATGGTTGCAAACGCTAGGTCCAGATTCTACTCCGGGTCCCCGTTTGTTGTCCCAGACGTTCCCTCCCTCCAGCTTCAGTTGCCCACTCTGTAAACGCGTCTCCAGTCTCCTTGTCGTGGGTCATAAGGAGAAACGTTCTGTGGGGAAGGAGCCAAGTCCCGCCACAAAAATGGCTGCGCCCCTAATTGCAGGGTGACTACCTTGAATGGGGTCTCACCACCCGCCGAAGCCACCCCAGTGCGTCCCAGGGCTGCCCGTTCATTCTGCAAGTGTTTACTGAATACCCACTACACGCAGACACTGCTCCAGGGGGTGAAGTCGCATCAGGGAACAAATCACACAAAACTCCCTGCCTTCAAGAGGTTCACGTGTAGGGAAAGACACAATGATTAGTCAATAATAAGTCAGTAATAAGTGCAATGGCCCTGAGGCAGGAGCCAGCTGCTATGACTAAGGCTCACAAAGCCATGCAGCTGGAACCCAGAGCGCAAAGGGGAGAGGGTGGGAGGTGAGGGTGGGGGGTATGATGTCTTCCACAGGGCCTTTGGTCCCAGGACTCTGATGCGCCTCTCTAAAATGAGAGTCAGACAAGGGTTCTGAGTGCAGGAAGCTGTGCAGGTTGAATGGGAAGGAGAGCAAGGAAAGGACCACACATTGCTCCGGTGCTTTTCATAGCTTAACATTTAATACCCAAGCCCCCTGTGGCGTAGGTACTGCTATTTAGCCCCTTTTTATAAGAGGATTAAGAGGGGCACATCAGTTAGACTGCTTGCCACGGTCACACAGGATTGGACCTTCCTACCCACGGGGGTTTGGAACTGGGCTGATGACAGGAGGTCCCCACGCGGTCCCTGCTAGGGGTGGGTGGAGGATCAGGACGGTGGCCAGAGGAGAGGGAGCCGAGGAAGGGCGAGGCTGCCTAATGTGGTGGGACACGCAGCTCGGTCCGGGAAGAGGGAATGGAGCTCCACGGGCTGAGGGGGGCTGGGCAAGGCTGGGGCATGGGGCGCAGCTGCGGGTAGGGCCTGAGCTGGACCAGCGCCCAGAAGGGCGTGGTGGAGACGGTGGGGGCGGGGCCTCAGCCAGCCCTGGCCTTCTGTGTCTCCCCGCCCAACCCAGGCCTGAGAGAGTCTGCGCATGTGCACTGGCTGGCAGGAAGGGGGGGCAGGGTGGAGGGCGTGGCCCTGTTTTGTCCTGGGCCTCGCTGGTGGGGGCGGGGCTTAGATCGGGG